CCTGCTGAATTTGTGTGTAGCAGCTTCTCTCATGGTTTCGTGTTGCCTTTTGAGACCCTCAAAAGAATGCTCCTTTTTTTAAATTGAGGGGATTGGCAAAACCTCATAGTAGAAAAAGTCTCCAGTAGTAGAAAAATCTCCAGTTGTGCTTTGTCAGAAAGAGGTTTCCATGAAGCTGAACTTAGAAGTGCCAAACTGTTCTTTAATTGTGGTGGGGGAAGAGCAGAAATAGACAAAACTTGTGTTTGCCAAGCCTCAGGTGTTCCCTGCATTTGTGTTGCCAGAAACATACGAGAATATTCTGTGCCTGAGTTACTTCTGTCACGTTGAAGTTCAGCCTCTCTTTTCACTCCTAAATGTCCTGTAGCTTCTTGCTCGCAGTGCCACAGCAGGCTCCTGTTTGTCCTGTGCACTGTGTGAATGCTTTTTAACCTCGTTCACCTCGTTAGGAGGGATTGTACAGAGCCTCCTCAGTGTCATTATTTGCACCTGTGGCAACAAGCTTTTACAGCACTTTCCTTGACTTCTTCAACGGAACAAACTCCAAAATGATTGTTGTTAGCCTGTCTGCCAACTGGGCGCGTAATCCACAAGCTGGAGGTGCTTTTGTGCAGGCAGAATAGCAGCTGGGTTTGCTTACTTTTACCTTGGCAGGACATTTTCCATACCCACTGCCAACACTATATAACATCTGGCTTTTTTCAGCCTTGCCCAACTTGAGTTTCTGGCTTGACAGACGATTTCTTGCTGCACTGATTTTAGAGACTATACTTGGAAAGCACTGAAGTCTAGTAGCTTGTGTTTGTGCATACTGAGGCTGTATCAACAAGTATCTGTAGCTGTATTAGTTGCAATAATACTGGTGTTCTGTACAGATATCTATCAAATAAGATTATTGAAAGTGGTTACTATCAGACAGTTTTTAGCAACAAGTTACAAATACATCGGCAACTGAGAGGAGCTAATGGGTTTTAGTGAATAAAAGCTGACACTTTGAATTGCTACTTTCCACAAGGGAAGTTACCTCTAGGAAGATCTTTACTGAGGGGAAATACATAACAAAGAGCTTGCCTGAATCTCTTTGAAGACTGTTAACTATAAACATGTTTAAGTTCACAACGAAATTTGAGTTTGCCTTTTCACAAAAGTGAAAGCCTACTGCTTTTTTCCTGATAGATTGAAATCTGTTTTTCCCCTTCTCCTTTTTATTACATGGCTTGTTTTATTTTATTTTTTTTTAAGAGATACAGCCTCTTTCCTTAGTGAAGCGGATAGTCTATGTATGGCCGTTAATGTCTAAATCTTTACGTTCCTGTGTGTAAATACCTCAATTTGTCTGGAGGCTGCAGCACTTCCTCTGTGGAGGTGAGTTCAACATAGTTGTGCAGAGGGCAATTCCCCCTCCTTGTCTTCCCAGCCTGTCCTTCCTAAAGAGTCTGTATCCCTCCACTGCACTGCACTCCAGTGATGCAAGCCATCCACTGTGTCTCTGGGGTCTCAACAAGACCCTACCACTGCAGCTGCACACAGATCTCTTAATTCCTTGTGTTTAGCCCCATGCTTTGTGCCTCAGTGTGCAGGCACTTCAGAGACACTTCCTTGCTTACGTGCAAATGCTGGAGGCTGATGCCACTTAAGCCCTGATTTCACCGCAGGTGCTTTGCTTGTCTGCCCTGTCCATTGATCCCTCAGAGGGATGTGGCAAGTCTTTCCCTCCCTCATGCTTCCTGGTTTTATTCTTCAGACAATTCCAAATGGTAATTCGTATCTGCTTGTAAATACTTGGAAGTGGCCTCTTGCTCAGGGACCACTGTGAAGGTTTGGTTGTAAACAGTCTTTTCCAGTTCTCTCATTACTGTATTGAAGGGCAATCTGATTAACCCACTTCTTGGCCTGATGAAATTCAGAACATTATGGAAAGGTCTTTCTAGTTATAGATGAGTTACCTTAGGATTGAGTTGGATACTTGTCATTTCCTAGTCTAGGAGTAGAAAACAAAACCCAGTGAAACAAATTTTCCTGGATGTAAACTGTGGTTATATTTATATCTTACATTGACACTTTGCTTCATGTATGTCTGGTCTAGACTTATTTTAAAGCAAAAATACTGTGGTAGCTGGCAAACAGGAAACATTGCAGATTTTCCTCCTCAGTCTGTTTGAGCTTTTGCGTGTATTACCATGTGCCGTGAACATACAGTGATCCTGTATTCATACCACCCCTGTTCTTACAGACAACGCTCACGTGGGGACCGTACTTGTGGTTTCACATGCTGCGAGTTGCCACATCGACCTTATCAGGTATTGCTTTATTTAATTCTTGGGTAAACTAGTAATGGAATATTGAAAGTTGCATTGACAGACTGTAAATCATCTTTGTGAACTATGAACCTGTATTTTACTTTGAATCAACAACTCTTGAATGGAAGAACAATCAGAAAATACCATTTTGCTGAACACTCTTTTCTCCCCATTTCTCCACATATGTAGATAGGGTGGTGTTGGCAAGGGAGCATATCAGCTTTCTACTACGTTATGTATGGAATTGTTTTGTGTGATGTTACCTGAAAAGAATGCTGCCTGGAGCAACTAAACTGACTGTTCTTATGAAGAAGACAACTAGAAATTAGCCCAAGAACACATCTAGCCATGTTGCTTTACACAGGCTTCTGAGGTTACAAAATAAACAAAAACAAGGCTATTGTCAAGCGTCTTAAACTCACCTCAGTTTATTTGGCCTGTGGACCTCATAAAATGTTGTGGCGTTCTAAAAATCCTTGTCCTAGTTTGTGTTCTTCCCAACATGTAAAGTATCTTTATTGTTTGGGGGGGGGTGGCGGTTGGCAAATGTTGTGGAGTTTCTGTCATTGTACACCTAATTTTGACCATTTTTAAAAACTAGTGGCAGTCTGTTCTGTTAATGAACCTGTCCTTACTTTTAGAAACACTTTTTATCTAATGTACAGTGTCATGATGTTCCTTGTCATACCTGTTCTTCATACACAAAGGTAGATACCGCTTTCCTTTTTTCCAGAAGTCTTTTATGAATTTGAAGATTATCACTTCCTTCTTCCCACTTCAGTTTTGCCTCTTACATTTGTAATTTGAACTGGTCTTCTGCGCAGAGCTCTGGATGCCAGGAAATCTATAAAATGAGTCATTGTCAACATTCACTGAAGCAGTCAATTGCTAACTTCTAACTTGTCTTCCCTGAACATGACTAACTCATTTGCATTCTTGGGGCAGATTTGCAATTTGAAGTGCAATATATTTGACTTCTTGCTTGCCTTTACTCAAGAACCAGTGTTGTAGCTATCATCATGGTAAAGAGACTGACTGCCACAAGCCTCCTGTTTCATACTTATAAGTGTGAGCTACTTGTTTCAGCAAAGTAGTGCTGAATGTAGCCTCCAGCTTGGAAATGGAGGCAGCTGAAACCTAAGTAATTAACCCATTAGTATGCAACAGAGAACATTGTTAAAACTGATAGTATATTCATGTTTCAATAAATAACACTCTGGTTTGCTGATACCGTTAGACTCAAGTGCCGTTATGGTTGGTAGCCATGTATTTTTTAACGGAAAAATATTGTTAAAATTCAGTTAAAATTGTCCTTTAGCTGATTTCCTAGCAAAAGAAAATCAGATCCAAATCTGAAACTAGTAAAATTCAAACAAACACCACCACCACTCATTGATTTGCATGTTCTCCTTTTGTTCATTCTTTATCTTAAAGAACAGTTACTCATATATTAAGCTAATAATTACATGTAAGTATATTAGCCTAGCAGATAGTTGTTTTGTCTTTTGAGTGAAGTAGGACAATGGAAAACCATTCAGGAAAGATGGTGACACCTTTTAAAAATAAAACTGTGCTTAAGAGTTTTCTTCTAGACACTAATTGTATGTAAACCTTTCTCTTTTTCAGTGTGTGATTTCCTTGGGGAAAAGATTGCATCTGTTCTGGGGATAAGCACACCAAAATACCAATATGCCATTGATGAGTATTACCGAATGAAGAGGGAGGTATGTGATGGGATTCTTGCACTCCTTCTCTCCCAACCTGCCTTCCCTGGTATTTTAATACATTTGTATCACAGCATTAAAATGAAATTTTAGACCCTGTGTTTCCGCTTGCCTTCAGTTTCCATTTGACACGTGATTAATGCTTGCTTATCATCAGCCTTTTCTCACCAGCTCGTCAGCCTCAGAACTGGCTGGGGTCCTGACCACTGCTCCATTTGTTCCTCTTGCACAATGCATTCTCAAGTCAGTAGTGTGAGGATGCTGGACAGAGCAATTACTGGACACTGCAAAGAGGCAGCTGCCAGGAACATACTTTCCAACTTCAGAACTTGCTCAATGAAGCGTCAAGGGTGAATTGAACACGCTGTTACCGTTTGTTCTAAACCATAACTGGAAACGACTGATAGGTAGTCAGTGCTTTATGCAAAAAGAACCCCTCACACCCCTCAATAATCTTAATTTGCAAGAGATGGGAAACAGCTTTACTGCTTATTTTTTATTTTTGGTAGCTCTTTAAGAGTTGAAAAAGCTTGAGAGAAGGTAGTGAAATCTCATTATTGCTGTTGCCTTAAGAACTGCTTATCTGGATATGTTACTTTTTGGTATTTTTTAACACAGCTTAATCCTTCACTTTACACCCCCCCCCCCCTTTTTTTTTTCAATGGGAATTCTGGAATATACCTTACGATCAGCTGGTGACCATTTTCCAGTGGAACAAATGTCCTTGCCTTGTAACAGGAACTGTTATGCTCTTATGGAAAAGACTCACAGTGGGTATAAGAGGTAAACAGTAGCTTATGAATCTGGTTATCCATTTTTAGGAGGAAGAGGAGGAACAGGAAAACAAGATGTCAGAAGAAGCAGAAAGACGGCACCAGGAACAGCAGAACAAGCCACAGGCTGAAGTTCCTGTCCAGACAGACCAGCCTGAAGCAACAGCATGCACTTCATTCGTGAATGTAAACTTTGAACATGAGGGAGATTGCCAGTCCATTGGGGAGAGTAAACAGGATGTAGTTCCTGTCCCTCCTTAAGTGTAAAGTCCTGTATGATGTAGGAAGTAGGAAGTGTCAGATGTCACACTCTGGCTATAAGAAGCAGGAAAAATAGGATTATGCTTGTTCAGTGAAATGCAACTTCTAGCATTCTTATTGATCAGGAGAGAGCTCGGCGATGTCTGTTCAGTCTGTCTGCCTAAGAAAGGCTGA